AGGGTGAGTTTTTCCTTTGGTGTTTGTATTTCAGTTACACCATGAATAAAGCCTCTTTGAGCCGAGACCTAAAACCAGTAAGATTAATTGTCGTTTTTCCGTGACATATATAGTCTAGATGTATAATAAATTATCAACCGTAAAATCTTAAGAAATGAGTCCCTATATATAGCTTCGATGACGATAAGACCTACCTTTGATTGCTAGAGTAACTTTAAATTCGTGATAATTGATATTTTTTCACAGCAATTACATTAGCTGATATCATTAGAGGTGTTGATATATAATACATTTGCTAAAGGTATATACATGCTAGAGCACAAATGAAACATTTGCAAGCCTATGCACGCCCACCATGCGCTGTGTGTGTGAAGCTAGAGCTTCGCATCACCGTTCCGAATTTCGCATCCGACATCTGACAAGATGAGCTCTGATTGGCTGTATGCAAATGAGTTCATACTGGGGTCCGGAGCTCAAGTGGGAAAAAGATTACGCTGCAGGGTGCTCGAAAATTTAAGCGCCCGGGTGCAGACTCCCAAATCGAATGGGTCGGTGACTAAAAGTTCAGAGACAAAAAAAAATATGAAACAGGCTCAAAAATACCCCGGGGGTCTCAGTCAAATATAAATACTGTAGGAATGCGTGACCAAGAAAACGTGTGTAAAGGGGTGTTTTTGTTATAGATTGGACGCGATTCGCGCGGTGGTGCAATAAGGGAGTTAAAAAACGTCCATTTTGGGCCATATTCAAGAAAAAGGGTACTTTTTCAACTTGGTTCAGGATCCTACTGTACGCGCCGGTATACGCGTTTAGGGATATTTTTCAAGCCCTAAATGCCAGACCGGGGAAAAGAGGGGGTAATAATTGCCCATTGGTGAAACTACTGGCCGCCGCACAGTAGGCCAGGGAGGAACCAAAATGCACCAAAAGTCATTTTTGGTGATTTTTTGTTTGTTTGAAAGATAATACATTGAAGGATACCTCAGTAAAATAGTTAAATCCAATATGCACCATAAGGGTATAAATTTATTCTTTTAGACAGCAAAATCCTACATATTCAAAGTTTTATTGCAAAAGTGACTTATAAATCTTTCAATTTAACATGAAGTTTTAAAGATATTGATATGATATTGCTTTCACATATTCCTGATAGTTCATTTCACTGCATGAATTGGTAAAAAAAAATGGATAGAAACACAATCTTCATAATATATTATAGAGTTATTCACTGAAAATGGACTAATTATTCATGTTTTGTATAAATCCAGAGGAAATGTTAAGATTTCCAGGGATTTCCGCTTTAATTTTATTACCACCATTTTGTCTGATGCCTAAGCTTTAAGTTGATTATCTAGCGCGAGTCGGTTGCATGCCATGACAGGGGCGGATCCGGATCCAGCCGGAGGCAAGGAAGGGGGCCAGAGAGGGGGTCCAATTCGTAAAAATTATTCAGAAGCGATTCAGCCAGCCGGTTAATAAGCGGGGGGGGGGGGGGGGGGGGCGGGGGAAAGTGTTTTTTTTTAAACTCGGCATCCACCCCCCCCCCCCCCCCTGAGGGCCAGGGGAGGGGGCCCGTCTTCCCGTTTTTTTTTTTTTAATACAAACAAGGGTGTTTTTACTCGTTTTTCTCAGGGGAGCGGGCCCAGTCCCCCTGGATCCGCCACTGTGGCATGGTATGCATATCACATCGCCCACAGAGTTTTATTATATATCTCTATGCATGGACTATGCATGATCTTCAGTAGATCAAGATGGATGCCCACGATTCCGATCCAGACCTTTCAAGTCTCACGCCTATAGCTGGTCCCTTATATTTCGTTTTGCCTATGAAAATAGTAACTGTTCATCGTACATTGTGTACTTTTAGTAGTCATTTGAAGTGACCTGATATACTTTATATAAAATAGATCAAATTTGAAATGGACTTATGATGGTTGTACATTAAACCCATTTGGAAGTGTACAGGTTGATGTTTTTGCTTCTCTATTGAAATAAATATTTACATAATTTGTGAATTCTTACCTCAGAATTAGCGCAATTTATTTATCTTATATTGTCAACAACCTAAATGGTGATCCCTATCGCTCTTAAAATGCTCAAGGGGTTCCAATTTTACAATACTTGTTTAGGAGTACATTTTGTGGAAATACCCGTTTAGGGTGTTAATTCGGGGGAAAAAAGAGATCCTCATTTAGGGTGTATTTTTCAGAAGAAATCTTCGTTTAGGGGGTGCCTGGAAAACCTTTTGTCACGCATGCTTACAGTAATTCTACATGATTGAGACCCCGAGTTGAAGTCCAATTTATTATTTATAACGTCACTACAAACTCAGCCGAAGTTCCAGTAGTTTAAAAGAAGATTATTTATTTATGGCATTTTATACTAAATGGGCGGCCCTAAAGATCGAGATAATTCAGCAGTACATCCTAATACGGAAACGTAACAAACTTAAACTGGGGTACGAAGTCATGCACATAGCGCTTTAATATTCGAGCACCCGGTACGAGGCGTTTTGGCGTGCGCCTGTAATCCAGCTAACAATGGAAGTTCACAAACTGGTTCAGCCGAGGACGCAGGTTCGAAACTGAGTCACATCTTTCGAATGTTGAAGTTAAAGGTCGGTCCACAGATGTAAATAATCACATCTGTTTGATTTGATGATTGATGTATGTCTGTAAAATCCCAATTACACACACACACACGGCTTCAATGTCACATGATATTACTATATATATCAAATTGCACCTGTAAAAATGTTCGATGATAGTATTCATTCGGAGTTTTTTTTACATTTTATTATTACATTCATTTCTATACAATTGATAAGATTTATTTATTTTTTTGAGTTGGGCAATATATATATATTTGTAACATGAGCTGTATATCTTCGTGCACATTTTACATAAAACATCATGAAACCACAATAAGGTTCCTGAACTTTTGGAAAACAATCATAATAAAATTATAGAGACTCGAATTGATTTTAAAAACAGTTATAGATAATATTTGGATTTCCATTTTCAAATTGCCAACATACGGCATTGAGCTTTTCGATGAATATTTGAATATTATTTCCCATATATCACGTTTCACAATGGGTGAATATTCTATGTTATCGATTACTCTATCACAAATGCAATACACTGGGAGATGATCGCTTACATCAGCAAAATATGATACCACTTATGATAGTTTCTATGTTATTAGTTAATATATTGTCAATTATGTAGCTGTATTTATAGTAACACGAGTTGGATAGTGTAAACATTGAATTTACCATAAGTACATCATGAAAATCTTGAGGGCAAAAATTGGCACTGAGTAGGTTTATTTTGAAGTCTTCGGAAAAGTATACACATTTATTTATTTATTTATTTTTTATTTTTTTATTTATTTATTTTTTATTTTTTTTTGGGGGGGGGACTTTTTTGTACTTGTTTTGGTACTTAAAAAAAAAAAAAAAAAAAAAAACAGACTCCAATTCAGCAGTATTCATATCCACATCCAACCTCCTATAAAAAGATAAATCATCATGTATATAAATGCCTACCCCACCTCCAAAACGAGTAATACGTTACCCACAAATACCTAACCATTAATATTATACACTGGGTCTTTTTCTATAGCCATGATTCACTAGCTATTATACAAAAATTATAACCAATCAGATTTCAAAAGGTAACTAGGCTTAAATTTGCTTGATATATCTATACAGTTCATATGATCACATGCAAAAATTGTATTCTGATTTGGTGCAGCAGCAAACGTATTAAATTCATCGGGCATGAAAAAAAGGACCATAAATACATTCATCATCAGCAAAAGGAGATAATCGATCAGATAATGATGTAAAATATAATGTCGTGGGAAATTGAAGATAAAAATCACGATCAGGCATAGCAAAAAACTATATACACAGTAAAAACAACAACGCATAAAGCATTGACAAAATTTGGATAATATCAGCAAGAATGAATTACCACCGGAAAAGGTAAATCGAGAAAATTGCTTTAAAAAATAGTGAAAATATCAAGTGAATGATCAAATCCCAAAATGGCTTACCAGTAAAATATATCAGATAGAGTTAAGATCGTGAAGGCCTGTAATTATTTTTTTTTACATCTCATGTCTGCCTGTTGATTTGACCAACGCGAAAACCTGAGCCTTTCAGTTTTCTTCGATTTTTCATCATTTTTATTTTAGGACTGTAAGAAGTGAACGGAGGTGATAACTTGATGTTGCGAGCTGCGCCGGCGTACGATCCTTGATATAGGACATCGTGAGCGACCCAGGGTTGTTGTTTGGTCTGCGAAGACGATGTAACCATTGTCTTTTTATTCATACGAAATATGCGGTCGCATAAAAAAAAAGATAACATACCTAACTTATTTCTGAAACTAAAAGCTCATTTTATAAATGCCTGATTTCATTGTCTTTTTATTCATACAAAATATGCAGTCGCATTAAAAAAAAAGATGACATACGTAACTTATTTTTGAAACTAAAAGCTCATTTTATAAATGCCCCATCTCCAAAAAAAAGGTAAAATTGACATGTTTTACAGCAATCTGAAAGATCATGCATATGGTATGTTAACCCGCAGCAGTTGAATGTCTCCTGTTAGTGGCGTTTTATTTTTATATTTTGATCCATTTTGATCAGAGTTGAAACTTAGACTAAGCTAGACTTAGATTAAGTAGAAAGAGCAAATATCTCTGGAAAATTTAAGTCCATTTATATTGAAGTACGTTATGCCATTCATGAATTAAACAGTGAGCACGATATAATGAAAAATATACGAGGTTAATAATTTACGTAAAATTTGTTTTTTGTTGTCGTTTTTTTTTTTGGGAGAGGGGGGGGGGAGGAGTAACTTTTCTTCACATTTGTTCATTTTGTATACATTTATGAAAACATCGAAAGAGTGGAAAATGAAAATAATTGGTGCCAAATTGAGAAAGGAAAGCTGATTCTTTTCTACTTTTATAAAACTCGTGATCTTTGAAACAAATCTGTTTACTTACTACATGATTTTTCATCCCAATAATCATCGCACTGATATGTTCCGTCACAGATTTCACCTTGGAGAAGTAGTTTATCAGAGTTTGAACAGAGACTCATACCTACATACAAAGATAACAACGTGGTTCAAAATTATTTTGAAACGGCAAGCAGAAATGCTGAAATGTGAAAACATGTCACTCAGGGTCGGCCGAGCGACTTACTAAGTGGGGGGGGGGGGGCACCAAGAAAAAAGGGCACCTACAAAGGGAAATCTCAAAGCGAAAATATACAATTTTTTGACATTGGTATATACCCCTAAATTGTGATTACATTATCAGGGATAATTTCAATATTTTTTTCACTTTATACACCATACAAGATATTGATTAAGCAGATGAAAATTTTTGTGAGGTGACAGTGAGAAAATTACAAATTATAAAGAGAAAAAATCGAATCCTGATGGGTTATACGCATATTCTCATAACGGAAGACTGAAAAAAACCTTTGGTAAGTAACATAAGTATATCATCTATAGATGCGTGCGAGCGAGCCTTGGGGGAATTGCTCTTAGTCGCTTGAACGTAGGGGCGCGTTTAAAGATGAGAGGAAAAGGGGACACTTATCAGAAAAGAAAAGCATGTGTCAAAGTACAAAGAGTAATTATCAAAGGTGAAAATGGGGCACTTCTTACACCTTCAAAAAGAGGCACTCACCAGGGATTAAAAAAGTCATTCATGAGAATAGAAAATGGGCATGTGTCGCCGGAAAAGGGGCTCTCATCGGATGTTGATAGGGGCATTAATAAGAGGTGAAAAGGGGCATTTATGAAAAGGGGATAGGTCCCTTATTAGAAAGGAAAAGAGTCACTTATCGCAACTGAAAAAGGGCAATGACTAGATATAAAACGGGGCACTTATGTGAATGAAAACGTGGCACTTATCAGTTATCACTTGAAATAAAATGGGCACCGATCAGATTTTAAAGGGGCATTTATCTGAAGTGAAAGGAGTAACTTCTCGTACCTGAAAAGGGTCATGTACCAGAGAAGGGAAGTTTATGAGAAGGGGAAGGGGCTCTTATTTAATGGGGCACTTATCATTTCAAAAAAGGGCAATATTCCTATGTAAAAAGCGGCACTTCTTACAAAGTTAAAGTTAAAGGGGCACTTTCCGGGTGCTTGAAAAAGTAGGGGAACTGTGCCCCCTGACCCATCACCCCCCCCCCCCCCGAGGGCCACCTCTGATGACACTGACATACATATGATGATACACCGATAATATACAATACTGAAATTGCCCTCGGGTTCGTCGATTTCTTGAAATTCTTTGCAATCGAGATTCAGATACCTACTTGATAAGCTGATAGGGGTGACTTCAATCTCGACACGGCCGTAGAAAGTGTAGGGTCTGTATCTCAAAAAACCAACGACTGTTATCCACATCTCATTGGAGCCAACATAAACATCGTCTTCATAAGATGTGTACGCACGGACAGTTTTGACGATCGATTGGCTGTTAGTCGTATCGTTACCCGTACCTATCTGGATGTTCGCGTCATCGCAGTAATTAGTGTAACCATATTCATGAGCATAGCACTCAAGGTAGATAGCCAAAAACTTTACTCGAAATCCATTCGCACTGTTTGTTTTGAGAAATGATGCATTATACATTTGTTCATAGATATCTGGAAACGTAATAGTGTGGTTTTCGTTTTCGAGAAGGAACGTTGATGGATGACCTGTTCAAAGATAGAATTAAATACTTCTGTTAGGTAAAAGATTACTTGTCGGTAATTTTCCTTAAAAAAGTGCTCTTTGGATGACATTTGTACAGGTTTACCCACTGAATTATCTCATTCCCAGAGGCTGTATATTAGTGCGGTATGGTATGTAATCCCGTAGGATTTTTGTGCCAAAGTTTATTTTTTTGCTTTTTGGGCTTCAAAAGGGTCCCAATTGACCAAAAATGATGGGGTGCAAATTTTCAGACCCCTCCTTCATTTCCTGGGGGGTCCTAGACCGAGAGCCAGTGGGGGTCAACCTAGCTGGGAAAGAAACCAATTTTAATGTGCACAGATGTAAAGATCGCATTGCTCCACATAAAAAAATTGACCGCCTGGCATGTTCTAAGTGATGGGTGTGGCCAGGGGGACGCCCCCACCAAAAAAGTGTCCCTTTTGACGACAAAATAGTATTATGTAAATAATATTTTAAGGAAACTTTAAACCACAATGAGTTTGGTGTTATATGAAAGAGAGTTAAATTACCTACATTTTGATACCAATTTCAAAGAATTTGGGATTAATTAACATCGCAAATTTAAGTAAAAAACATGATTTTGAGATTTTTTTCGAAAAATGTTATTATATAATTAGACATTATTTTCCATTTATCAAAATTGGAGAATTGCATTTCTTCATAACTTTCCAGGAATTTGCTTATGTACAGTTAGTGTCAGTTCTTTGTCTTCTACAAACTGACCGACCATGGATCGAAATCGTATTACGTCTGTCGGATGGTAACGTTAGAGGTCAGTCCTCGAATGTAAATAAGCACACACACACCAACACGCACAGTCTCGCGTATAGTATTTTTAAAAATCACAAATCGGAGTATAATTATTTTTGGTTGGATATAGAGATTAAAACAAGATATAAACAATTAATAATACAAAAAACGCATTTGTTCTTTATAACACTCACTGCATTGCGCTTCATCGGCAAAATCTGGGCATTTAAAGACTCCATCACACAAATCATTCGTTGTGAAGGAGATACCAGAGGTTCTGCATTGTAGTAGATCTGTTGTGAAAAGGAAGAATTTAATAAATCATATTCAAGCCCCGCGATTAAATACAATATCTACATAATTGTGCGAAATGAAAGTGAAAGAATAATGGTGCATAGCTTTATAAAAATTACTCATTGATGTTATCTAGTATGAATTTCTGAAAAGTTTGAAAAAGTGTCTCCGCCAGGAATCGGGACCATAGTGGCGAGTTATGCAGTAATTGTAAATTACCGACAAAACTTCAATATTCATAATTTTTGTGGAGGGCAGGTGAGTTTATAAACAATGACAAGCAGCACATGCCTCAGTTGCAGCCTAGTTTTAAGCACACACGCACGAGCGCTCACAGACACACACACTCATATATATATATATATATATATATATACAGTGCGTCGCAGAAAAAACGAAACCGAGAATTATCGATGTTTTATCATAACTTAATCACATCTATAATTAAAAAATGACACATATTTGGAAAGCTAAGATCCTCCTCTTTCATTTGATGCAAATCATTATGATGCATATTTCAGGCATGAGTGATTAAAATCAATTTGAAGAGAGGAAACCGAAAAGTCGTTTGGCAGGCGGTATCTGAATTTCAAAGAGTCATGTCGGTCTGGAGCCCGTCTTATTAATGGTGTGACGAGAGTATGAAGTACATTGAGTGATGCAGTGTTATTCAACATAAATGATATTCAAATAAGACATATCTAGAATAATCACACACTTACTTGATAGGTCAACGGAAATGATCTCAACATCCATTTCAATCCTAGCGGATGCATTTCCTCCTATGACAGCAATCCACATCTCATCGGTATCTACATAGACATCATAATAACTGTAGTCTATGAGTCCATGGATAGTTGTGATGACAGACTGTATATCGGACGGATCGTTACCTGTCCCTATTTGGAATTTATCATCATCATAATAGAGATACAAATATTGGAACATGATTCGAAAACCATACGTAGTCTTTGTTTGAAGCAAGGTTGCATTGTATAACCGGCGGGTGAAGGAGAGCGGTATGTAGATGGAATGTGATTCGCCTTCCTGAAGATATGTCGCTGAATTATCTGTTTAAAAAAAGGGGGAGACAAAAAGGGACATTGAGCAAATAAGAGTAAAACAAGTGAATTTTTCATCTAAACATGATTCTGATAAGTTCGTTAACTGGAAATTGGTAACTTAGCTTCTTCAACTGGTACTGCAAAAATATGGGAACCCCTCCCGAAAAAGTTACTTTTTATTTTCCATATCGGATTTTACCGCGAAGGGATCATGTCTTCTGAGTTCTGACACAAAACACGGAATCATGACAGCGTGAAACCTGGACAAGATAAGATGTACCCCTGTATAAAATGTTCTTGATCAGTATAAAACAATCAGAATGCGATATTATGCATTAACTGTCAAAGCTGGATTCATTTAATAAGTGTTCCTCTGTTGACATCAATATTTTCAGTCAGATGCTGATTGGACATGATCATAATTGTGTGTCATTTGTTTATTTAAAGAATTGCCTTTCAACTCTGATGATTGACTTGTAGAAACACTTGTTTAAAGATAATGCTAATCTTAACGATTTTTAACATCATTTAACAGCTAAACGAGGATAAATTTATCTTCATTTAACTGACAGCTAAATGAGAATAAATTTATCTTCATTTAACAGCTAAATGAGGATAAATTTATCTTCATTTAACAGCTAAATGAAGAAAAATTTATCTTCATTTAACAGCTAAACGAGGATAAATATATCTTCATTTAACAGCTAAATGAGGATAAATTTATCTTCATTTAACTGACAGCTAAATGAGAATAAATTTATCTTCATTTAACAGCTAAATGAGGATAAATTTATCCTCATTTAACAGCTAAATGAAGATAAATTTATCTTCATTTAACAGCTAAATGAGGATAAATTTATCTTCATTTAACAGCTAAATGAGGATAAATTTATCTTCATTTAACAACTAAATGAGGATAAATTTATCTTCATTTAACAGCTAAATGAGGAGAAATTTATCTTCATTTAACGACTAAATGAGGATAAATTTATCTTCATTTAACGGCTAAATGAGGATAAATGCTGTTAAATGAAGATAAATTTATCCTCATTTAGCTGTTAAATGAAGATAAATTTATCCTCATTAAACTGTGTTAACGAAGATACCGGAAAGCGAAAGCGACCACAGTGAACTCGTCTTCTTCTTCGTCGTCGTAGCCATCTCGACGAAGTCAATGAAATCAAATTCAAAACGCGTTATAAAGGAAAACGAAACAGATTACGGACCGCGAGTGACGACGTCGAATCGAAGAGTGATCTGAAATCTGGTTTCGGCGCGTGTACTATATGCTTTTTTTGTTGTTCTTAATTGCCTTTACGTTTCAGTAAATTAATAGAGAAAGAAGATGAATCGTTGTATCGTGCCCTTGTCTGAATTCAGTTCCCCCCCCCCCTCCCGCGTGAAGCGCAGAAGCTTGGACGTTTCAATAAATTACTACTCTTAATCCTTGTCTGAATTCATTTTCGCCCATCCCTCGCGAAGCGCGGAAGCTTTCACGTTTTATTAAATTATTAGAGAAAGAAGACGATCCGTTGTACCTTTCTCGACTCTTAATTCTTGTTTAAGGGTAAAAAACGTATGAGTGAAATGTGTGACTTTTCAGGACCAGTGTTTGGGTTCAACCAAGTTGTGCACCCGTATTCCAACAATTCCGTGTTCGTGTGCCAGGGCCCTGTTTCATAAAACATGTTACAATAACTGTTATAAGCTACTGAAATGGTGGCATTTGATTGGCTGAGAGAATTTTTGTTATACAATTTTAGAAGTAGTTATTAACAAAAAAAAAGAAACAGACCCCTGGTGTAACTAATTAAGGGAAATGGTAATTGAGTTGTATTCGATACATATATTTTGTAGTAGACAGCGGAACATAATGGGTCAGAACAAGGGGATGTAGTCAAAAAGAATTTCAGTATCACAACTAAGGAGGTATTCTGTTACTTACTACATGATGATTCATCCTCATAATTGTCACAGTCGTAATATCCATCGCAAACCAACGCCATTGACACGATCTTGTTCGATCCCGAACAAGTAAAGAAATCTAAAACCACAAAGAGAATAATGAATGTTATTATTTACTCACTTCTTATTATTATTACTACTTTCATTCTTTATGGTATGTTTTAAGAAATGCAATATGTATTCTAATTTTGGTTCATACACCCTGTTTTTTCCACACAAAAAATGTTTTACAAAAGTTACGAAATTCTATCAATATTGACAAGTATTGATAAATATCATAACCATGTACCAAATGTAATCTAAGTCTACGGGTACATACAGTGTAATCCCTTTCAGTTTTCAGTTTAGTTTCTTTTATTTTACATGAAAAACAATACATCAACAAAAAACATAGCATAAACGAAATTGACATTCATGAGGAATAAAGACATCTACACAGCAAAAGTTTGTATTGCATTTACACTAGATAATTTCGAAATAACATGTGAAAAAGGGAACTTAATAAAAATAAATTAAAAAAAGCATAGCGTTTAGAGTTTACGTTCCTCTGTGCCTTTACCCGAGACCTACACGACCAGTTACGGGAAAAATCAACAATAATCCAAAGATCTTGTCGAAAATCTTTAAACCACTGACTACTCCTTTTTACTCCAATGTAAGATATTTCATTTATTCACATTTCATTCATGGATTATAATAGTAGGCACGAGAGCTAAAGCGATGGTCACAACTCAGAGCGGCGACCGACCGATGTGTAGCCTGCTAGGTCGCCGCTGAAAGTTAGGCAGCGCCCAACGTTTTTGGTGAAGTCGAGCAGGCTGTAGAGCCCGAGTGATGCTCGGGCGGTGCCTTTTCGATTTCCCGTCGGTCGCCGGTCGATTGTAGGTCAAAGCTGGGCGAAATCGGAGAGCTTCTCTGGGCTGTGTCCCGGTAGTAATCGACTGATGACCCACCGATTCCTGAGCGGTCTCCCACCGGCCACAGGCTGATTTTAAAGAAATTGCCCGGCGGCCGGCCGGTGATCGGCGTGGCACCAAAATCCGCTCGACGCGCGGGCGGTCACCGCCCAGGCACGGACCTAATCGAGCATTTGTCGTCGAGCGATTTAGGTCAAAAATCGAAGCCGCTAGGTAAAAGGCTGCAACCGATTTTGAATTCGATGCCCAGTGACCGATTGATCTCCTAGCAGCGACCATGCGGGGACCGGGCGGCAACCGCTATAGGCAGCCTTTGACCTAGCGGCTTCGATTTTCGAACTAAATCGCTCGACGGTGAACGCTCGATTAGGTCGGTGCCTGGGCGGCGACCGCCCGGGCACCGAGCGTATTTTGGGCGGCGAATGAAAAGTGAGCAGGCGCCGCCGTATTTAAACTCCGTGCTTAAAATTCACCGGCGACTGAGCGATGCCCAAAAATTATGCGGTGCCTGGGTGGCCGCCGCTCGGTGCCCCGGCGAAATTGGCTAAAAACTCGCCTCCCGGCTGCCGAGCAGGCTACTTTTGGGGGTTGTGACCATGGCTTTAGTTGGTAGAGCAGTGGTCTCGTAATCCGATGACCACGGTTCGAAACCAAGCCGATGCGCTAGTGCCCTTTGGTAAGGCATTAATCCTCATTACCAGGTTCCTCGGAGAGTACCTAAAGCCGTCGGTCCTCTGGTTGCTTACCAACAAGCATTTATGCTTTCTTAGCTGTCAGGTAAAATAACCCCTACTACTACTACAGTGATAGATGAAAAATTCTCCAAAGATATAGGCTAATAAATACTGATAAACATTCGTAACCGACTATAAACCGGTACATGTTTTTTTTTTTGTTGACGGTTACTTGCCCCCATCTGCAATGTGGATGAGGAATGTCATCCAAAGAATGAGGAGAAGCTGGACAACTGAGTGAGTTTTTCCGAAACACTTCTTCATTTTCATTCCGTTCATGCCACTGGAATTTAAAGAAAAGAAACTGAAGATTTAATACGATACAATTATTTCTAATATAATAATGATAATGATAATTTATCAATTATAAAAGGATTCAGAGTCGAGAACGGTAATACCAATCGTCTTCTTTCTCCAATGACTTAATGAAACGTAAAAGCTTCCGCGCTTCGCGCGGGAGGGGGTGGGAAACTAAATTCAGACGAGGATTATTTTCGAGAACGGTAAAACGAATCGTCTTCTTTCTCTAATGATTTAATGAAACTTAAAAGCTTCCGCGCTTCACGCGGGAGGGGGAACCTGAATTCAGACAAGGATTAAGAGTAAAAAACAGTACAACGAATCGTCATCTTTCTCCAAAGATTTAAAGAATCGTAAAAGCTTCCGCGCTTCGCGCGGGAGGGGGAAAAACTGAATTCAGACGTGGATTAAGAGTCGAGAACGGTAATACCAATCGTCTTCTTTCTCCAATGATTTAATGAACCGTAAAAGCTTCCGCGCTTCGCGCGGGAGGGGGGGGTGGCGAGAAACTAAATTCAGACGAGGATTATTTTCTAGAACGGTACATTGAATCGTCTTCTTTCTCTAATGATTTTAATGAAACTTAAAAGCTTCCGCGCTTCGCGCGGGAGGGCAGAACCTGAATTCAGACGACGATTAAGTGTCGAGAACTGTACAACGAATCGTCTTGTTTCTCTAATCATTTAATAAAACGTAGAAGCTTCCGCGTTTCGCGTGGGAGGGGAGAGGGAACTGTATTCAGACGAGGATTAAGAGTCGAGAACTGTACAACTAATTGTCTTCTTTCTCTAATGATTTTAATGAAACTAAAAAGCTACCGTGAGGCTTCGGGAGGGGGGGAACTGAATTCAGACGAGGATTAAGAGTCGAAAACAATACAACGAATCGTCTTCTTTCTCTAAAGATTTAATGAATCGTAAAAGCTTCCGCGCTTCGCGCGGGAGGGGGAAAACTGAATTCAAGAATGGATTAAGAGTCGAGAACTGTACAACGAATCGTCTTCCTTCTCGAATGATTTAATGAATTGTAAAAGCTTCCGCGCTTCGCGCGGGAGGGTAAAAACTGAAT